TTATGTTTTAATAAGAAGAAAGGTAACTATTCCTAATCCTACCACCCTTATTTGCCCAAATAACTTCTGTTCCTGCCTGGCTGCCTGCTCAGTACCTTCTGAAAAAAATAGAACTCACATAAGCCTTTATTTCAGATAAATTTGAGCAGGCCATATAAGAAAGCCCATACGAGCCTAGTAGGGGAAAAGAAAATAATAGTAATCATATAGTAAACAGAAAATAAGCCACATAGGCACACTTTTTGAGTATGTTCAGATTGCATTTGCTATGGAAAAGTTACAGAGAAGCAATGCTACTTCTCTTACAATGTTACAGTTCTTTCTGTTGCTAATAGATAAAATATCTGAAACTGGGTGATTCATTAGAATAGAAGCCTATTGGGCTGACAGTTTGGATGTCCAAGGTCTAGGAGCCATCTCTGTCTGGTGGGGGTCTTCTAGCTGCATCACCTCATGGTGGAGGGCAGCAAACATGTGTCTCTGTTCTTATCTCATTCCCTCTCCTTATAAACCCAGCAGGAGTCAACCATAGGGTCCCCACCCTGATGGCCTTAATTCTAACCTCCCCCTAACAGTCCCACCTTTCAATACCATTGTCAGATTAAGTTTTCACCCTCTTAATTCTTTCATATTTCAGGAGGACATGGGGGACATTCAATCCATAGCACTTACCCAATAAGCAAAAAGGGCCACTGTCACTAGCAAGCCATAGAAAGCCAGGATTCCACTAGCCACCGTCAGCGCCCAAAAGGGCTTAGAATACTCAATAAGCTGTGGACCTGAACAATTATTTTTCTCTGGAAAATAAAATAAAGTGTATTAAATGATATGGAATTGTCCTTTGAATATATCTCCTACCTCTAAACATCAGAGAAGAATGAAAAACAAAACTAAGCAAAATATCAATAGGTTGGAGTATATTCTCGCTCTTTGGGACTTATCTGACTCTACCATTGACCATAACCTGGTCAGCTTTCACCACTACAATGAAAAAAAACATTACTTCAGTGTAGTGTATTAGTAGAGTTGCAAACACATCACTTTGTTGAATCCGCTATGTGACTCAAAGTAATGACTTCCAATGGCCTAAACCCAACCTCCTTCTTCCCATTGAAGTTAGTATTTTTGTGTTTGTTTTTTAATTTTGTCATAGTACACCCTGTGTACTTTTAAGCTCCTGGGTCCAAGACTCAAACCATAGAATTAGCCATGTGGGATCCAGTGCCTTAACCACCATACCACTGGCTGACCCCAGAAGCCATTTTATCTAGACCCTAATCTGTATCTTTGGAATAAGATAAACAATGTATATGTCTTCAACTCAAAAGAAAATCACAGTACTGGACTGGTAATCAGAAGATAAATTTCTTGCTCTCCGCCCATCTGCTGCAGCAAACAGGTAGTATCACTGCTTCAGAAGCTGAACACCATGTGGGATCTAGGGTTTGGTTCCTTGGCCAACCTGAACATGCTAGGCATGACTGTCCATGCTTACAATTCTAGGTAATCAGAAAGCCAGGGCAGGAGATTGCAACTCAGTGAGACTATCAAAAAATACCCCCTCTCTGTATCTCTTCCTTTCTCTTTCTCCCTCTCTCTCTCAAAGGAAAAAAAAAAAGAAAAAATTTCTCTCTCTAACTTTATCTAATAGATTATATGATGATGAACACTTTATATCTTTAAGCATTAGAAATGAGATGGGAACAACCCTATAGAGTTCTACTAAAAATTAGATCAATTTAGAGTCTGAAAGAGTACCCCAGATCCTTTAGTCTACTGATTTTCAATCTTAGTTGGACATTAGAGTTATCTAAGGAAGTTTGAAAATATTCTGATGTCCAATATCCCTTCCTTGGGCCACATCAATTATATCAGAATCTTGGGGTGGATCCAGTCATTGGTATTTTTTTTTCAAGGTTATCAGATTTATAATATGCACAGAGGATTGAGAATTACTTAGTACCAGATCATTGGTATCCTTTCTAGTTCTAATGTAAATGACATACTATGCTTATGTGTATATGCATATATAAAAAGTACTCTCTTAAAGTATATATCATTTATATAGAGAAAAATATTTTACCCTTAGCTTCCAAAACAGCATATTGTCTTAACCTCTGACTTGATCCAATTAAGGTATTCTGCCTGGCCATTATAGATATTTGTAATCTGAATGATACTCAGCAAGCAAAATATTCACACATTAATTGCCTCCATTTTGCCCAAACATAAAAGCTGCTTTAACATATTATGTTAATGGCTCTTTCCTTATTTAGTATTCTATTTTTCACCAGCACAGCTCAGATCCAGCATAGGAGAAAAAAATAATTATCAGAATTATGCTAGTATTAAATGTAAAGCTGAGTATATATTTTCTTAGTTATCATTCTACAGAAAGGAAAACCTACAATGTATTCACAAATGATATCTCAAAATCTGACCTCTCTCCATTTTATTTGTATTAATAAATTGCATCTTACGAGTTCAGAATTTTACCATTTTTCTTGCCGACATTTACATAGGACATATTCTCAACATAAGCTCAGTATATTCCTTTCTACTAATTCTTGAGTATTGCTTAAAGTACTGAATTTGGGGCCATGAAGATGATGGGTAACTTATTCAAGATTACAGAGTTGTTAATAGCAATTTTCATTTCCCCTGATTTCTAGTCCAGTTTCTTTTGTATGTTTTATAAAATTAAAAAGTACTTTTACAGAGGAAGGCCATGGAGTCAAAAAGTGAATTAATTAAATATTAGGTCATCAGGAAAGTCAGGACATATTTCCCTCTGTTTTTCTGTACAAAAATGTGTCACGACATCCCAATAATCCAACAGAATGCAATCTTCCTGAGTCCTGATCCATTAGACCCAGCTGCTTCATAAAGGTACCTGGGCTTACAGTTTAATGGAAACCTTTTTTCAGCCATGTTACTTGAATGGAGACTCTTATGAGTGGACTATGACTTCACCCCTTATATCCTCACTCAGTGTCATTAAGGAAGGACAAAAATATCCAAAACAGAACCTTGATTCTCCTCTAAAGAGAAATAATGTTTTTTGAAAAAGCATTATTTATCTTTATGAGTATTAGATCACTTGGAACTTATCCAATCTTAACATTGATCATGACCCAGTCTTCAGGTCTATATTTGAAAACCATCAATTTAGGGTAGTATACTGGTAGAGTCGCATGTTACCTTTCACATGGATTATGGTTCCATTGCTCTTCTCATTGTCTAGGTAAGGAGGAGGATACATAACCTCGATTTTGCAGAAGTAAATATCTGTTTGATTAACATACAAATTCCAGAGGGAGAAAGTCACTGTTTCGTTACTCAACTTCCCATCACAGTGGAACCCTGTATTTGAGTGAAACTGAAGCTGATGGGAATAATTCCCACTCACAACACAGACTTCCATGGCACTGTCCACTCCTTTATAAAGGGATGCCCGGAACTCCTTTGAGAAGAGGTCGTAGGTATACTTGCAGCTAAGGTTGACCGCATTGTTGTTCGCCACAAGCATGGGCAATTGTGTCACCAAAATCTTGTTTTCTGGGAAAATAAAAGTAATTTGCTTAGAATAACAGTTTAAAGATTTTTTTTTTCCTGAAATCAAGATTTATTAGTTAACCAAATGACCAGCTCTTCAGTAAAGTTTTTCTGTTGGCAGATGAAGATATAGAAGCTTTGGGGGAAATAATTATAACTGAGGGTTTAGAAGTTTACATTTTTTTTTCAGTCCTCCTTTAAGTGGAATAATGGAAACTGTGCTCACCTGGAAGGCAGAATGTGGCCTGTGTTGGCTCTGGGTACCCAGCCACACACTCAGAATTTTTGAATGTGTATTAAGATTCCTTAGATGTTAATCTCACATTTGGGCTAATTTCCTGACTGCGAGATACACTAGGAAATGGCTTTTATGCCTGTCACAGATATACAAATAGATTCGTTTTCAAGTTGTAATATAGGCTTTTGTGAAGTAATTTAAATGATTTGCAACATTTTGACTTTATTGGCCATTCCAAGAGTGAGATCAAGAGATTTTTTAAATGTAAAACAGATTGTTTTAATTGCTCCCTTAAATTAAGAAAAATAGAAGTATCCCACAGGAGGCATCAGTCTGGTCTATCCTCTATCCTTATGCTATCCCAATAAAAGATCCAAAAATCTAAAGATCAAAAAGTCCTTTTTCTTTAAAAGAAAAAAAATTGGAGTTAGTCTATCAACTCCATGAGGGAAGAGAACATGCAGATCTTGTATCCTTGTTGCTGGTAGAGACATTAGATTCCTTTTTTATTTTATTTATTTATTTTTTTAATGATTGTATGAGGCCTAGAAACATTAGATGGTTTGTCTAGGCAGTAAGCAAATAGAGAACAAAGCCAGAATTAAAACCCAGCCACCTGAGAAATAGACTGTTGAAGTATTGCGAATCAACTTTGCAGCCAAAGACTCTCCAAAAGTTTTTAAAACATACAGCTTTGTGTCTTCAATTCAAATTTCAATACAAATAAAAAACACTTATTTTGCTATTGTTTGGAGTATGGTAATAATTATCTACCTATCTGCATTTAAAAAGAGAATGGTTTTTGGAAGCAAAATTCCATATACCCAAATAAAATCAGAATCTATTTAAATGAAATTTAAAATTTAACCTGAATTTGAATTTGTGTACTCAGGTGTCTTACTTTTGTTTTGAGAAAAGAGAGCTACAGATAACTAAATTATTGAAAGCTTTTTCTGTCTTCTGTACAGTTATCAATGACAGCTGAAAAACAAGAACTTTAAAAAAAATATACCAGGTCCTCTCATTTCCAGAAATTCTGGCTTGATTGGGCTAGGTAAGGGGTGGAGGTAGGAAGGAATTAATATTCTTTTTTTACTTTTTGAATAATAATGTTAAAATATAATTTATGTCTCATAAAATTCACTCTTCTAAAGTGCAAATTCAGTGCTTTTATAAAAATATATTTACAAAGTTGTGAATGGATCACCTGATTCCAAAGTATTTTCATTTCCTCAAAAATAAACACCATACCTTTTCAGAGTCACACCTTTTTCTTCCCTCTCTCTTACCCCTAGAAATCACAAATCACAAATCTACTTTTTGCCATTATGGATTTTCCTATTTTGTACCTTTTGTATGCGGATTCATACACTATGTGGCCTTTTTGTCTTGCCTCTTTTCCTATTATAATGGTTTTAAGCTTAACCCATGTAGAAACATGTAGCAGAACTTCATTTTTTAAGACCAAATAATATTCTAGAATATGGATATATCCCAATCATTTTTCTATTCATTACTTTTTAGGCATTATGAATAATACTATTATGGACATTTGTGTACAAGTTTTTATGTGGGCATACATTTTTCAATTTTCTTGGTATCTACTGGGAATAGACTTGCTGGGTCTTATAGTAACTCTGTTTAACTTTTTGAAGAACTGCTAACTTTTTCCCAAAGCAACCCTACCATTTTACATTCCCACCAAAAGTATATGACAGCTCTAATTTATCTACCTCCTTGCCAACACTTCTTACTGTTCTTCTTTTCTATTATAGACTCCTAGTGGGTATGAAGCAGTATCTCATTATGGCTTAATTCACATTTTTCTAATGACTAATGATGTTGATCATATTTTCATGTGCTTACAGATATTTGTATATTTATACATTTATATATCCTTTTCCAATAAATATCCAGATCATTTTCCATTTATTAACTGGATTATTTGTCTTTTTACTGATGAACTATCAAATTTATTTGATACATATATCTGATAAGGATCATATATATATATAATATAAAAATATATTATTTATATATATAAAAGATCTTTATCAGATATGTGATTTGCAAATATTTTATTCTATTTCTCATTCTTTGATATTCTCTTAGTAATTACTCCGGTTGATTCTAATATTCAGTTGAAGGTGAAAATCACAATGACCTTCTGACACTTCTCCAATTGTCATCATATTGGAATCACCCGGGAAACTTTGACAATTCCTTGATTCTCAGACCAATTAAATCAGAATATCTGGGTATAGAACTTAGGCATCCGTATTTTTAAAGTTTCTCAGGTAATTCTAAATTGCAGTCAGTTTCAGACCAATGCTTAACACATGAAACATAACTTTTTATCCTCAAATTCATAATCCTCCACAGATTTTTTCCAACCTTATTTTCCCAAACTGAAACTCCCCTAATTAACCAGACCATTTAAAGTCAGTATCTCAGGAACTCACCAAGAGAATTCCCACCTCCCGCTTTCTCTTCAGGCCTCAGAAAAATTACTCTCTGTATCACTCAGTTGCCAGTTGATCAGGTTCTATACTTTGAACAACTCTTGTTTCATGTGATTTAATTTCTGTAACTTTTGATTCATGTGTATTTCTTCTAGGCTCCAAGTTTCCAAGTCTCTTGACAGCAAGAACCATGTGTTACACTTCTATCTCAAATTCCCTACTAATAGGATCTCATTAAATAATTGGTGAGTGAAAGACGGTGGTCTCCTGTATCATTCTTATCAGCAGCTAGATCTGACTACCAGCCTGTTAAATCCTTGGTCAAAAACTTTAGCTTCATTTATTATTCTTCGATAATCTAGAAAACACCAAAATGTGTAAACAATCAAGAACTTTAAGCTATTTTGATGTGAAAATCCAACCTAATTTTTGTTTGTTTTATTTGGTATGTTTGTTTCCTTCTTTACTTAGAAGGAGTGATTATGCCAGGTCTAATTGGAAGGGCAACCAACCCCAGAAAGAAATCCCAGTATTTCCCCTCCTTTTCAGGAAGTAGTTAGTGTTTGTATTTCTGCTTATGGAGCCCCCTGAGGACTGTTTCTGTTGCTAGTTATTTGAGTTCTGTTTTGATGGGCATTCAAGTTTTGCCTAATCTTTCTTCAAAAACTGATGTAAGGTGAAAGATTAGAATAGGACTTCTTTGTGGGGATAAAAAAGGGAATGTGGGTGGAGAAATTGAGTGAGGCTGCCAAGAAACCCCAGATGGTACCCAGTTTGGCTTCCTCCTCCTAGCACTATATCGAGGTACAGAAAGGGAAAAGAGAGTAAGGAAGACAAGCTCCAGCTTCTATACTGTAGTAAATCGCTTAGTACATCTTGTCTAGCTCAGAGTATGACATCTTCCCAAGATGGACATGGAAGAGAAAAGCTGACTCCCCAAACGTAAACAGCACTCAGTTTTTGTTCTTTGAAAACTCAGGCTTCTTGAGAAGAAAAAGAAACAGAAAGTCACTTCAAAAATAATGACACACACTCAGCCTCTGTGGCAGTCAGTAACATACTGGACTTTGGAGCTGGAATCCACGTGCTGACAGCAGTTTGATTCTTGGCCCAGTCAGCCTGAGAACACACCAGGTGTGTGCACACATGCCCAGGATCCTGGAGGGCTGGAGAACTAGAGGAAGGGGCTCATGGCATGATCGAGCACCATGGAAGTTGTTTCTCTCTTTCTTTCTTTCTCTTTCTCATGCATGCACACACTCATGCCTTTTATCATGACTTTTTAAAAATAGTGACACAGAGATCTACACATAGTTTCTGGGGGCATTTGGGGAAGCAGCTAAGCATCTCTGGAGGAGACAACTGCTGACCAGAGTCTAGAAAGATTATGCATACATTAATTGAAAAAAATTTACTGCGTAAAAGTTAGCCTGGTTAAGATGCATCTTTGTGTTGAGGACTAGAGTGAGGTGGGGAAGTATGTGTTGGGATGGAGGATGAGGTAGATAACTGTAGGGAGGATAAGACAAAGACAGAGCAAGTGTAGTCTAGGCAAAAAAGATAAGGTGGTGAGGAGTATGACAGATGTAGGGAATTACAGCTACCTCAATTTCACCAGGCCATGAGTTGTGAAAGACCAAATTGGCAAAGCAGGCATAGTTCACCACTTTAAGGAGCTTGGGCTCTCCCCTGCAGAAAATGGAGGACCAACTGAAGGCTTTTAAACAAAAAACTGACATGCACAACTTTTCGTTTTATACAGAACACTTTAGCATAAATGTGGGAAGTAAATTGAAAGGGTACAAGAGCAAAAACATGGAGACCAGTTAGGATACAGTTGTGGTAGCCTAGGCAAGAAGTGATAAGGAACTGAAATATGGTTCAACAGAAGTGGATAAATTCACAATAAAGTTGTAGACTAAAAGTTACAACCCGTAAAATTAGCTTAGATGTGGTGAGTGAGAAAGAAGAAAGAGTTAAAAATGACTCCTCAGGCCACATGGACCAACCAGTGAGTAGCTGTTTTCCATTTAGCTACATCTCCTCTTCATTCATCTCTTCTTTATTTCATGATCAGAGAGGACAGCTCAGAAACTGAGGTGAAGTTTGGACCTAGGAAGTATTCAGAAGACATTCTTCCAGTCTAAGGGATTGTTGCAAAGAAAATACAAATCACCTCAAAGATTACTGGGAACACAGTTGACTCCCTGGAGTTTATTGCAGTGATTACTGTTTCCACTGGGAGAAGCAGCAGTCTTCCTACCCTGAAATCACTTTTTCTTCAAAAGGCACAATAAAGTGAGATAACTCTAAGATTTTCCTTCTGTCCATCATGGGCCTCTCACTTCAAACCTCAGCATTGTTGAAATTGATTGGATTTGTCCTTGGGCCATTCTACTCCAGCCCTAGAAATTGAGAGGTTTTTCGAGGAGAAGCAACCCAAGACCATAGCACAAGGCTAAAGTTACACATCCAACATTCTCTCAGTTGCTATTATATCTAGCAACCAATCAATGGAGGGGAAAATGCTTTATTTTGTGATGTTTTGTGCTAAGATTTTGTTGGAAAGGCTTGAAAGCAATTTGGATATATAGCTATTTGATGAAAAGGATATATCCAATTTATCTGTTAATGTTTGCTTTCCTTCCTCTTCTGTGTCAACACAGACAATATTTAAATTAGCTGACTCTTAAACATAATTACAGTACTGTGCTTGAAATAGCTCACGTGGTATGTGCTAACATGTAGCTAACAGCCTCGTAGTTTAAGGTTCAAGCTGAGCACAAGGTTGGTTGATAAAACCTCTGGTTTTTCAAAATTTATATTTTTATAGCTCTTGGCCCCACCGTTCATGTGAATAATTCAGAGAAGACTAAATGAGATTCTACCTCATAGAACTTCAAAATCTACATTTGCTTTGGAGAAACACTAAATTAAAGAAATTTACTTTTGGTGGTAGTGAAAGACAACCAGTTATTCTAAGTGATATTGAATATATGTGATCATTACAACTTCCAGCAAACACAATAATTCTGATTCCTCTTATTTTCCCTTGAAATGGAGCATGTGTGAAAATGCATACCTCTTGCCCTATGGGAGCAAAGTAAAAACGTGAATAAATCAAAGCAGCTGATAATCAAAACATCAGGTTACATTGGGTTTAATACATATTTTGATCCTCTGAGATTTTGGGAATTCATACTACATCCAATAAGTTAAGGACATATTGAGAAATTTGAGGACATATATAGACTTGGAAGAAACTAGAGAAATATTTACTTTCTCTATACTAACTTCGGTTTGATTCCTTTTTGTTTTCCAGTTTTTGCTAGGAGTAGAAAGCATCTTTCTTAGGCTACTTCAGTATTAGCAGATGTAGCCCATTTTCTATAGAAATTGGACTTTCTTTCTTGCGAATGTTTAGGAAAGGTCTAGCTCAAATCTAAAAAGAGAAACATTTTCAACTCATCAACTGCATTTGCTTATGGTATCAAAGATTGGCTTCACTGACATTCCTCTAACTGAATTGACAAGTTGTTTTGATGATGAATTTAGTGCTTTGCTTTTCAAAGCCTTTCCTAGCAGCTAAACCAGCTAAAGGTGTGGAGACAGGAAGCAGTAACCTCAAACTTCTTTCCCTTGCAACTCCTGCTTGACAACAAGGCATCTTGAAGAGTAAGATCGAAGGTGAGAAGGTACTTATCTTCTGCTTGTGAGCAAGGCAGCAAGAGCTAAAAGATTTCCCACAGATAATCTGAGAATCTTGTGATACAGTCAACTTCTGGAAAATTGAAAGTTACTTGTGCTTCCATCAGAATGGGGTAGGGGTGGTTACACAAAAACATCTTTACCTTTTCATCTATTGTAAATGGGTCAATTACTATATTTAGTAAATAGGTCAACTTCTGCACAGGTGGAGTGAATAACCACCTCTACCGTGTGGCTCCCAGCGTCAAAAAATCCTGACATTAAAAGGACCCACCCACAAGCCCAGTTAATCCTTGAATCTCCAAGGAAGATGAAGCCTAACATGCAATGTGGGAAAAACATTGGCATACATTAGTAACTATAGCCCACATTCATAAGGCTATGAAACTTTCTTATTTTGCCTCATCAGAACTCCATTTTGACCTGTGAAGTAAATAGCCAAGATAGTCTTTCTGATACCAATTTTGTAGATGGATAAACTGAAGTCAAAGAAATGATAGAGTTGCCTAAGTTTGCAAGACAAGTAAATGGCCCTTGAGATTTGAACTCATGCATGATGACTTTTATTTTATGTATTTCTTCTTCTTTGAGAGAGAAAGGTGGGAACCAAGGGAGAGGGGGAATGACAGAGATATATAGAGAGAGGTACTTCCCAATAAGGTCGTCACATTATGATCTGCTCCTTGCTTCAGCCAGCCAGGTTCAGGGAGCCCTCAGGATGCAAACCCAGTACTCCCAATATGGTTTCGGCTTTGTGGAACATTGCATTGTGTTACCACTCCACCACAACAACTGGCCTAATGACTTTTAATCTGTTGTTCCTTTTCCTCTGCCATGTTGCATCACAAATTTTTTTTAGAGGATTTGCTATAGGGCACGTGCGCTCACCAGACAGACAGAGAGAGACAGAGAGATAGAAAGCGAGAAATCACCCCCCGGGGGGGGGTGGCCACACCACAATCCCTTCTCCATTCTCCTCTCAGGATTTTGGGCACACATGCACACACACCCGGCATGAGTTTTAAGCCACCGGGTCTGGGACTCGAATTGCGGTCGACTACATGGGAGTCCAGCGACATAGCCATTACGCTAACTGCTGGTCCCTTGCATCACAATTTTGACACAATTTCAGTGATTGATTCTATGTTCTCTCAAAGCTGGACTCAACAGAGAAGCTGGTACTAGGTGTTTGAAATGCCAGAGAGGAAAATACCATTGTGTAGGGGAATGAATGGACTGGCAAAAGGAACAGAGCAAGATGCATTTCATTTTCTTCACCATTTTGCTAGATTCTATCCTGCAAAAAATACTCAGCTGAAAGGAAACCTGAAGATGATCTAAGTCAAGCTCTTATTACAGAGAGGCAACTGAAACAAAAAGAGTAAATGACTTTTTGAACAGGGCTGACAAATAATGGAAGAGCTAAGATGTAATTTATTTATCTGGACATCTAGTAGAAATGTTTTAAATCAATGAATGAATAATGACTTTTGTTCATTTAGCAAAACAAAATTGTTTTCATGCTCATGTTTAGAAAAAGTTTATTTCTAA